TCACCAACCCCACACACACACACACACACACACACACACACACACACACACACACACACAGTAGTGCTGGAGAGATGGCTCAGCAGTTAAGAGCACCGTATGCTCTATGAAAGGATCCAGGTTCCATTCCCAGCTTCAGCACCCACAAACTAGCTCACAACCATCTGTAATTCCAGTTCTAGGGGTTCCGATTCCCTCTTCTAGTTTACTTGGGTACCAGGTACAGTACATAGATACAAATGAAGGCAAAAATCCATATACATAAAAATAAAGATAAAAAATATTTTTAAAGAAAATAACTATTTTTTCTGTCAAGACAGACTTTCTCTGTGTAGCTTTGGAGCCTGTCCTGGGACTCACTCTGTAGACCAGGCTGGCCTCAAACTCACAGAGATCTTCCTGCCTCTGCCTCCCGAGTGTTGGGATTAAAAGTGTGTGTCACCACTGCCAGGCTCAGAAAATGAATTTGTAAAAGAAAAAACTTCTTGCTTCATACTGGTCATTGCTAAAGTGACAGGAACTTGTGATTGACTCCACCATCAGCATCTCACCTTCCCTTGAATTGTCCCCAGAAGAAATGAGTCCCCAGGCTTAATCTCTTCCAGGAATACCCCCTGGGAAAACATCCATGGTGAGTACCTGGAAATATACAAAATACTTAGCTAACTAATGATAAACACAAAGTTTACGGGACTCTCTAACCAGAATCTGATAGTTAGGAAATCTTCTTGGAGCCAAATGTGGCAGCATAACCCTGTATTTCCAGTATTTTGGAGACAGAGGCGGAGGATCAGGAGTTCAAGGCCAGCCTGGGCTACTTGAGACCTTGTGAAGTAGAAACCACCTGAGCAGGTATCAGAGGCACACTGGGAATAAAGCAAGGCTGGCCCTGGGAGAAAAGAGAAGTCTTTGCCCTTGTCCTTCTTTTTCCCCAAGATAAGGTTCTGAACTCACTGGCAGGAAGACTGCAGAGCACTTCCAGGGCCATCAGGGTAGACTTGCAGGATATACTTAGGCAAAAGGGCAGTTACTCAGAAAATGTTGCTGTTCTCATGGGAAACCACAGCCTGTTCCAAGGCATTGTGTGCAGGAGCAGAGGGCTTCAGTCCCAATAGAGTTGGTCTCTGGGACTAGGGACAGGGAAACTGAATAGGCACGGGGCAGTCTGGGGTCAGTAAGGGACCTGTGGCAAGATGGAGGAAAGACCCCTATGGCATAAATATTTAGTAAAACATAAGAACAAGCTCTAAAAACTAATAAATTTCAACTTTGACTTTGCGAGGTAATTCTATAATGCCAGGATTAGAAGGCTGAGGGCGGGTTGAGAGTTTAAGCCTATCATGGACTACAAAGTAAGATTCTGTGTCAAAAAAACTAAAAATTGAGCCAGGTGGTGGCACACACCTTTAATCCCAGCACTAGGTGGCAGAAGAGACAGATCTCTTGTGAGTTCAAGGCCAGCCTGTTCTATAGAGTGAGTTCCAGGGCTACCCAGAGAGACCCTGTTTCAAAAAAAAAAAAAAAAAGACAACGAAAAGAGAAATAAAAGATGTAAGTCTGGGGGCTGGAGAGATGACTCAGGGGTTAAGAGTACTGACTGCTCTTCCAGAAGTCCTGAGTTCAATTCCCAGCAACCACATGGTGGCTTATAACCATCTGTTATGAGATCTGGGTCCTCCTCTGGAAGCAGAATGTTGTCTACATAATAAATAAATAAAATCTTTAAAAAAATATAACCATCTGTTATGAGATCTGGGTCCTCCTCTGGAATCAGAATGTTGTCTACATAATAAATAAATAAAATCTTTAAAAAAAAAGTTGTAAGTCTGAAAATACTGGATGCTTGTGAGGAGCAGCAGAAATGGGGAAGGAGTAAAATTCTATTGGCTTCTTTGTTCTTTGCATATAGCCCTGTCTTGCCTCAAACTTGGTATAGTTGAAGCTGGCTTTGAACTCCTGATCCTCCTACCTCTACCTGCCTGTCCTACCACACCCAGCAAAATGAGTCCTTTCAAACGTGGTTGCTGGGAGGAGGCAGCTTGGCAGGACTTGGCAAAGCCTCACAAAGATGCTGGTCTGCGCATGTTCCTCCAGGTTACCAAGGCTGTGGGTCGGGTTTTCAAAAGAACAAGCACTGGGGTATTTACTGAGACACTTTTCTTTTTTCTATAGGAGAAGGGGAGGGGGGCTGTTGGGAAACAGCCTATCTTAGCAAAATAAGCGACAAAATGAACTCTAGCCGCTTCCGCAGGTGTTCTGTTCTGCCATGAGCATGCACAAACAGGATGGTCATGTCTCAGCATGGGTAATTGCAAAAGTCTAGGTCTGTTAAACGTCAGGTTGCAGAAGGGTGTACGGAGTGATTCTGTTAATGGAGAGTTTGATGGAGAGGCGGTTTGGTGGTTGAGAACACCCGGAATTCTTTCGGGGGACCCACATTCAGATCTCAGCACTCATGCTGGGTGGCTTCAAGTACCTGTAAGCCCAGCTCTAGCGTATCCGATATTTCTGTCCTCCAAAGCACCCGTAACTCACTCACACACACACACACACACACACACACACACACACACACAAACACACAAATGCACACAATTCATAATAAAAATAAGGGCTGGACAGAAGGCTCGGCAGTTAAGGGCCGAGCTCTTAACTGCTCTGGCAGGGGACTCACTGCTCTGGCAGCGGACTCAAGTTCAGTTCTGAGCACCCACATCATGTGACTCACAACCACCTGTAACTCCAGCTCCAGTAGATTCTGAGGGCGTCCAGTACTCCTATGCATATTCCCTCTCTGTGTCTCTCTGTCTCTGTCTCTGTCTGTCTGTCTTTCTCTGTCTGTCTCTCTGCTTTTTTGAGATATAGTCTGTCAGCTGGGTGGTAGCACATGCCTTTAATCCCAGCACTCGGGAGGTAGAGGCAGGTGGATCTCTGTGAGTTCTGGTCTACAGAGCGAGTGCCAGGACAGGCTCCAAAGAAACCCTGTCTTGAAACCCCCCCCCAAAAAAAGAATTCACTACTATTGGTAGATGCTGGCTGAGGACCACAGCTAGAGGGCTGTAGGAAGAATGAAGTACTGAGCAGATACGCTGCAGCTATTCAAGAAAAGAAAAGAAAAAAAAAAAAAACAGAGAGGGAGTCAAGAACATCAGAGTCCAGAAACAGAGTTGCTGTGTTTGGCAGAATACCCTCATAGGCGAGGCTGCCCATAAGAAAATATTATGTTTATATAAGTGTGCCTGCTGGCCTCTGTATTTGCACATGTGCTTACATGGGCTTATTTGTGACCACATGTGTGTTGGCTGGCTATCTGTTAACACAAGCTAGAGTCATCTGAGAGAAGGGAGTGTTGTAGTTTGAATGTAATTGGCCCTCATAAACTCATAGGAAGTGGCACTATTAGGAGGTGTGGCTTTGTTGGAGGAAGTGTGTCACTGTGGGGGCGGGATTTGAGGTTTCCTGTGCTTGGGATACTGTCAAGTAACTCAGTTGACTTCCTGTTACCTGCAAACCAAGAGGTAGGCAGCACCAAATCTGCCATCACGTGACCATGCTCCCTACCATGGTGATAATGAACTGATCCGCTGAAACTGTAAGCTGCCAATTCAACTAAATGTTTTCTTTATAAGAGTTGTTATGGCCATGGTGTCTCTACACAGTAAGAGAAACCTTAGCTAAGACAGGTAACCTCGGCTGAGAAAACGCCTCCATAAGATTCCACTGCTTTGGGGCTGGAGAGATGGCTCAGAGGTTAAGAGCATGGGCTGTTCTTCCAGAGGTTCTGAGTTCAATTCCCAGAAACCACATGGTGGGTCACGGCCATCTGTGATGAGATCTGGTGCCCTCTTCTGGTGTGCAGACAGAGCACTGTATATATAATAAATAAAATATTAAAAAAAAAAGATTCCTCTGCATTAAAGCCTGTAGTGCATTTTCTTAACTAGCAATTGATGTAGGAGGGCCCAGTCCACTGAGCCGGTGGTCTGGGTTCTGTAAGAAAGCAGCCTGAGCAAGCCATGTGAAGCAAACCAGTAAACAGCACCCCTCTATGGCCTCTACATCAGCTTCTGCCTCCAGGTTCCTGCCCTGTTTTGAGTTCCTGTTCTGTCCTCCTTGGATAGGAAACAGTGATACTGAAGTGTGAGTCCAATAGACCCTTTCCTTCCCAAGTTGGTTTGGCCATGCTGTTTCAGCCCTGCAATAGAAATCCAAACAGAGACAACATGTTCACACATAGAAGCCCCGGGTGACAGGGTATAGGAAGGAAAAAACCGGAAAGGGGACATCGAAGCCACAGCTCAGATTGAAAACTGCAGAGCCCATGATGACACAAGACTGAAGAATTTTAGGCCGAAGGGAAGGTGATTCTTTACTTTCCAGATCCAGAAACTGACAGGAATGCAGCCCAGGGTCTGCCAAGACACCAAACCTGTTCAGGACTATGGTAGCCTGCATGTAATCAGCCCCCAGGAAGTCGTAGGGAGTGGCACTATTAGGAAGTGTGGCCTTGTTGGAGGAAGTATATCACTGTGGGGGCGGGCTTTGAGGTTTCCTATGCTCAGGATACCATCCAGTGTCACAGTCAACTTCCTGTTGCCTTCTGATCAAGATGTAGCATAAGGTCTGCCTGCACACTGCCTGCACACTGCACACTGCTACCCCCCATAATGGTAATGGACTGAGCCTCTGAAACTGTAAGTGAGCCACCCCAATTAAATGTTTTCATTATAAAGGTTGTCATGGTCGTGCTGTCTCTTCATAGCAACAAAAACCCTAAGACAAGTACAATGCAGTATGGGACTAGGTTCTGAGAAGGAGAAGATGGAGACAACCTTAATTATTGTTCAACAAGGATGTATTCACACACTGCTTGTAAAATTAAAGGGGTCCAGCATGGTAGCATCCATTTTAATGCCAGCACTCAGTAGGTTGAGGCAGATAAATTATTCTGAGTTCAAGTTCAAGACTAACCTAGGCTACATACATATCAAGATCCTTTTTTTTTTTTCAAAAAAAGAAAAATAGGGCTAGGGAGACAGCTTAGTGAGTAAAGGATTTTGATATAAGCACAGGACTTGAGTTTGGTTCCCAGTACCTTCATTAATAGCTGGGTGTTGTGGCTTGCATTTGTAATTCCTACTCTATGCTGGCAGAGAAAGAAAAGATCTCTGGAGTTTACTGGACAGCTACTCTAGCTGAGTTAGAAAGCCCAGGTCCTAGAGAGTGTTTTTCAACCTTCTTAATGCTCTGACTTTTTAATATAGTTCCTTATGTTATGGTGACCCCATCCACAAAATTACTTTAATTTCAACTTCATAGCTGTTATTTTGCTACCATTATAAATGGTACTGTTACAAATTTGTTAGACACCTCCCCCAAAGGGTCACAACCCACAGATTGAGAACCACTGTCCTAGTGAGAGACCATGTCTCACAAAAATAAGGCCAGGAAAAAAAAAATAAGGCCAGATGGCTTTGAGGAAAGATTGGCCTCTGGGGCACACACAGACACACACACACACACACACACACACACACACACACACACACACTTTTAAAAATAGGGCTTGGGATGTACCTCAGTTGGTGGAACATTTGTGTGATGGACTATTCTTGATTGTCAACTTGACTACATCTGGA